TGATCTAGCAAGGCGGTCCTCATTTTCTTGTTTCTTTTGGGGGGGGGGCTGAGTCAGTCAACCTATCTGACTTTTAAAAATACACATTGACTTTGATCCTACCTACAACTTCCATGGACAGAGGGAACGTATGTCTGCAGAGCATGACTTCTCTACCTCCCCTGCCCTGTTGCAATCCAAATCATCATCATAAGAACCTTTATTGGCATAGCTATAACATCAAAGGAGAACTAACAATACAGTTTGCCAAAGTTGCAGTCCAAAATGTTGAAAAGCTAAAATGCTACTTCTGAGGGTCCCAGAGAAATAGTTCAGGGGAGTCAGAAGTCTGCCGTGGGAGAGGGAAATTGGAAAGAATTGCTTTCCTTTCCGTCTGTGGAATTCTAAGCAGCATCCAAACCATTTTATTTCATATTTTCACCTACTTTTAAGCATATTCTGAATCTTTGGGGTGGGATAGGATACATTAAGAGTACATTTTCCAAAAAAATTACAGTGCTTATATTGAATTGGCTATTTAATTAAACAAAAGCTCCCAACTTGAATATATTAAAATGCTTGTGGGCCACTTTACAATAAATAGCATCAAATTTTGTCAGGTGTCTTATAGAATTTACTTAATGTTTCTGACAAGCTCTGATTTCTTTTGGTTTACGCTAGAAGTTACATGGGAAGACCAGCAGAAAAAGGTGAATGGTACAATAACTGATGACAAATCATTGCCGAAAAAGAAACATCATACTGAGCCAGGTTTGTCAGGGTTTGGAAAACCACCAGAAAGCATGAGACTATAAAATTTTTACATTTCATGCTTTTTGTAATAAGTGTGTGCTTAATGTACCTTATTTTTTTCACTTTGTGAATTTTTTTTAGTCTGTAGAAACTATCTAGATTAGTATTGTGGCACAGTTTCTTTTCTTTTTTTTAGAATAGCAAAAATAGAGCCACGTGTTAGAATGCACATCAATTAGAAAAAGTGTGTGGCTTAAATTAATATTGACCTTCCTTTTTAAAATGTTTAGTTTTATTTGTTGTTATCTATACAAATTAAAATATGTGCAAAGTTCCTGCCAACCTAGCAGTTCAAAAGCAAGAAATTGCAAGTAGATAAATAGGTACCACTTCAGTGGGAAGGTAACAGCGTTCCGTGCACCTCGGTGTTTAGTCATGCCGGCCACATGACCACGGAAACATCTTCGGACAGCGCTGGCTCTTCAGTTTGGAAACGAAGATAAGCACTGCCCCCTAGAGTCGGATTCGACCGGCTTTCGAGCAAGGGAAATTTTTACCTTTACTTAAAGTTATTTAATATCCTGACAGTACATTAAGCATGTTTGCTCAGAAGTCACTCCCACTGAGCTTACTCTGTAGTAAATGTGCTTAGGACTGGAGCCTAAGCCATTTCGCATTCTAGAAGGTTGGGATGGATTGATTGGTCATTGAGAGACTACAGTGTGGCACAATATGAAAATAAGGTGAAGGCAGAAATAATAATTGGAGGGGAATGAGTAAAAGGAAGACAAGATTTGGGAGGAGCAGTTGAGAGAGGAGGATAAATGAGTAATATGGAGGTGAGCCAGGAATCCTAGGTACATCTTGTTAAGCCTTTATTTAAGAGGACAGGCAAGTAATCATATAAGTAAGAAAAAAAACTGACCAGCGATAGCTAGGCATTGTTGCATGTGAAAGTGGTAGAGTCTGGATACTGAGCATACTGAGAGTACATCTGCTGAAGAAAACGTGAAGGTTTAATAAATATTATGTATGATTGTTATGTATTAAGCATGGTTTATTGGAAGTGGGTTACAGGGCCTGACTTGCCAGTGTAAAGTGATTAAACAATCCATGACATTCCTTCCTTCCTTCCCACAGATTATGTTATATTGGGTGAGCGAACTGTTATTTGCAAGGAATTAAGCGCAGGAAGGGTTGATCAGATTGAAAAGGGGCATTTCAGCTCAATTCCTTTTTCCCTTCCAGCTCCTAATCGTCTTCCTTCTCCACTTTGCACGTTAAAATATCTCAGGGGTATAGAATAGGTTATAGATGCCAGATGTATAACAGTGTAAGAGAAGCTGCACTTCCTGAAAGTAGCACAGATTATTTCAGACCTCTTAAAATATTCTTTCTTTGCCACTTTTTAGATGGCATCATCAGAAAGTGGCAAAGGGAAAACATTTTAAGAGAGCTGAAATAATTTTAGAGCCAGTTAAACTGGGTTTTATTCCCTGCTCCTCCACATGCAGCTGCTGGTGTGAGAATGGGTAAGTCACAAGTTCTCTCAGAACTGTTATCTCAAGAGCAGGCCTCGAAAGAGCTCTTTCAGCCCCACCTACTTTACAGGGTGTCTGTTGTGGGGAGGGGAAGGAAAAGGAGATTGTAAACCACTCTGAGACTCCTTCAGGGTGGGGTATAAATCCAATCTCCTCCTCCTCCACCTCTTTGTCTTCTTCTTTCAGGACATGTGGCTTCTCTTACACTGATATACATCTGGCATTTACAGTTTTCCATTGTGCATTATTTATCCAAAATTCTACATTGGTCTGATGGTCCAGTAAGAACTAACAACTCCCAGGGAAAGAGAAATTCTTCCTTGAAAGAACCCAGTGATCATTCTATGAAATTTCTTAACAGCAGCTCAACTCTGTCTCATGATCTGAAGATCTAATTTTTTAAAAAATGGATGAAAATTTTCATCCAGTAACACTCAAAAGACCACCCCAGCCTCTTATACACAGGACAGAAAGGATTAATGAGGTACGAAGTTATGTGGAATACAAAGATCATTTTGGCAATGCCCTATCCGTACTCAATGTCTTCATAACCAGATCACTGCATAAGAACTATGGAGGTAATGTGATAACAAATGTGTTGTATAGACTTTACCATCATTGTGTTTTGGGCTCTGTCTAACAATACAATCCTATGCAGAGCTACTCCAATCTAATCCCATTGATTTCCAGTAGACTGAAATAACTGCACAGGATTGCACTGTAGATCTTGGCACACTGAATAGCTGAGTTATATACTGAAAGAGGGATTGCACTTACACTTCAGAAGTAATTTACTAACTACTTCTTGGAGTTTGAGGATTTGACTACTATCTCTGAAATCTCAAGGATTAGGCGTTATAACGCGCTTTGTGTGGGATCTGCATGATGGGTGCTGGAACTTGTATACAACAGGTATACAACAATGAGAACGTATCTATCCATTCTGTGATATTTGTATTGCTTGCCATGCATATGCCAATGTGGGGTATTAGTGGGTCCCCTAGAAAACCTTTTATGGCCTGCCCCTCAATGTCTGAGTGTAATCTGTGGATTGCCCTACTCAAAATCCATGAATGTGATTGAGAGTATGGGATATATTATGTATAGACAGAGCTGTAGAATGTACAATCTACAGGGGTATATATTAAGGCCTTCTCAGTTATAGCTCTGATGCTGAGGAACTTTCTGATTGTAGGAAACAATTTTCTCTTCATTTCTTTCTCACAAGTAAACAGGATACAAATGTGACAAATAGGCAAATAATTTGATTTTTTTCCAGCACTTGTTTTATTTGGTTTTTACTGTATAAGTAATTTACAATAGGGAAAACTGCAGGTATCACATATAGTAAAGGATGTTTGCTTGTTTTACTCTTCATTTCAGTTTGTACCTAGGCCCGTGTCTTCCAAACATTAAGCACATACTTTAATAGGCAAACCAAGTAAACTATGATATCACTGCAACAAATATCAGCATAATTTTAAAGTTTTGCATTTCTTCCAAAATATGCCCAGGATTTGCCTTCAGTAAGTCTCCAAAGGAAGGGAGATGCTTAACATGCTCGTGGTATATAGGCGTCTTCAAGAAGGTGTCCTTGGTTGATTTTTCGGCGTACAGTAGAATATAGTTTCACCTGCAGACTGTTAGACTTAAATGCATCACTCTGGATTCCACCAAGACCCTACAGCAACATCTTCTTTCTACTGACCAAACACAGAATTGATTATCCTCCTTTCCATCAGCAGTTTTCTCTTGTTTCAGCATGCTTACTCATGGTCAGGTCATTCTAAAAAAAGGACGGGTGGCAAAGTCTTGATTGGAAAATCTCATGGTAGTTGCAGTTGATTTCCATAAGGAAGGTGGAATTGACCAAAACAACAGTTTATTTATTTATAGTTTCAATAGTTTCGATTTATTTAGTTTAGTTTGCCTTAAGGTTGATATGCCATAATGTAAAACACCAAACAGTGTATGCTCGTTACTTGTGTTAATTATTTATATAGTAAACCAGCTATGTGAAGAACATGAGTGATGATAACATATAGGCTCCTGGAAGAAATTATAGGTAAGAGCTATAGATGCTCTGAAACTCATTTCCATTTAAACCCAATTTTTACTTGTATTGTAATAATGGCCTGCTTGATTGACTAATATTTCAGAATCAGTTATATATTTAATTAGTATTCATTGTAATCTGGTTTCTTATAAACCAGTGGCTTTATTTCCTCTTCCAGATAATGAGATATTTTCTCCCATTTTCCTGCTACTTAAAATTAGTTTAACTTCAGCAAAAAATATTTTAAACCATCTGATAATATTATTATGGAGAAAGCTCAAAGTTAATTTTTTAACTTTAGCCCAGAGAAATGTTGTTTAAGTATGTTGAATATTCCTGGACCAAACTGAATTCGCGAGTAAATGCATTTTCGTTTTTTCTGCATTTTTCTTCAGCCATACTGGGGGAACAGCAGTAACAATGTGTGCTTTCCCCCCTCAAGATTTTACACTAATCTTGTATTTCTGATCCTTTCTAGTTCAAATAGATATTTTCTTCCTTTTAGTGTTTGCTGTGTTTTCTCCCCCCCCCCCCATTGACTGACTGTACACTACAGGTTTCTTTCTCACAATTGTGGCCCTTTCCCTCAGTGTCAGTTTTTATCTTCTGAGTACATCCACTCACGTCCATCTTCTTTGTCTCTGTCTGTACATTACACGACGTGATCACAGAAGAAGTGGATTCATCAAGGAGAAGAAACCCAGGTCTGTCTCTTCTACTGGTTTTCTCTGTTCTATTTTCCTTCTAGCTTGTCCTGTGAATTTTGACACATTGCATTTCTCACATTTCTCTCATTCTCATATATGTCTACATACAAGTATTCTTTCTCTCTCATTTTGTCATCACTATAAAAATGCAACCTTAGTTGTATATTAATTTTGGTAGGGAACAAAATATTCTGGATATTAAAACAGCAGCTTTAATGGATTACATAAAGTATTTGGGAAAGAGAACTTTTTTCCTTCCTGTTTACTTGACTGTCGCTATCTTCTGCATATCAGATTTCTAGGTCTCAAGTTAATTAGCATTAATTACTGTGATTAATTACTGTGATTGCCTATATTCTGAATTATCATTTTATCAGGAATTCTTAGATGGGTTAAAGAAATTCAAACATGTTTAGAAAGAGGATCTGTGAAATTTGAAGAAATTCATACCATTCCATTTCATGCTATGGGAAGTGGCTCTTGCATTTTTAAGTCAGTCCTGAGTATAGTCATTATAGGTTTTGTGTAATTAGTAATAAGAAAGAACATCAATATAACATAATAACGAAATAGGGTAATGAAAAGCACTGAGACAGTTGTTTCACATAGGCGCCGGTCACATGGAGGATTTGCTGTGCTAAAGGCATGAATGTCAGGCGGATTTTCGGGGCGCGATCACACCCCAACATCTGGGAAGCATAGCGCACCCGTGGCATCCCGCCGAAGATGCACAGTCAAAAAGTACCTCGGAAAGTGCACTAGCATCCGGAAAACGCGGGGCAGGGGTGGGCGTCTGATCGCAGGAGCTCTGGTATCCCATGGCATCTGGTGCCTGTCCACGTCCCATCGCAAACCGGATGTTTTTCGTAAGCGCATGCGCATAAACACATAACTGAAAGCAGTGCTGCTCTGCAGAACTGCACATGTGCACAAACGCAAAACGCTTGCCACGCTGCTTCTTTGCCATGCTCCAGCATCGCCATGTGATCGCCAGCTAACAGCCTAAGTGTGAAGACTTGGGGGACCATGTGATCAGGCTACCGTACTTTATTTTGCTCTGGGGCGAACAGCCACGCCTCCCCCCTGCGTTATCTGGCCCGTGTGACCAGGGCCATAGTTAGGTAATATAAACATCTGTTGAAGGATGGAAGCAATGTTTTGTAAAGGGTTTTGAGCTGATCATCCTTCGCAGATAAAATAACAGGCGACAGCAATATGCCCCATCTCTCTTATATATAATTGCCGAATGGTGGTGGCTTCTGGCCTTTGGGGTGGCGAGATTACATGCACTCCCCCAGCCATTGGCCCGTTGGCTGCCAGTCAAGACTACTGGCGTGCCATTGGGCGGGCGTGCTGCTCTTCCCCACCCACTCCCCCTTCCACTCTGCCCTGTCAGAATTCTTGGCAAATGGCTTTGTCTCTTTGACGAAGACGCTTCTCCTGCTTGCCTCCTGTGTGGGATTTAACTTTTCCCTGAGTAGCTGTTGGTAGGTGTAGCGAAATGGCAGTTACCTGTGTAGCTGTTGGTAGGTGTAGCGAAATGGCAGTTACCTGTGTTTGTAAGATGACTGCTGGGCTGCTGTCTGTGGTTGTTTGTTTAAAATGTTCCGCCATAAGGTTTAATTGCGCTGTAGTTCCAGAGAGGTCTCACTCACTGGCTTGAATGGAGCTTCCTCATCTGCTGGACTACAGTTCCCAGCTGCCCCAAGGCAGAAAAGGGCGGCAAAACAGGGGCTGTCCCAACACACGGGGCGGCATCAATACAAACTGCAGCCCATCCAGAGAGGAGGCCTTCTTCGACCTACAGGAGGTTAGGAAAGGCTCCTGCTGCCTGTGCTGACCAGGCTATCCAGGCCACAAGCCAGAGACCTGGGGGAACCCTGCTCTCTTGGGCCAGAGAGTGAGAGGCTAGAGGAGAGAGCCAAAGGCCAGTGTGAAAAGAGGATGGTGTTTAACCCCCATTCGGTTCATACAGTTGGTTCATACACAGTGAGTGCGCGCGACCCATAACTGTGTCAATAGTTAGATAAATTCTTTTATTTGGGCTAATAATCTGTGTTGTGCTCTGACCACATAGTCTCTCTCGCTCTGCACAATAACAAAGGGAGGGGGTAGCCCAAGGAGGCAAGAAAGGCCAGACCCTTGGGTTGCCAACTTTCCAGGGATCCCCCAAAGACTGGGGATTCCATCTCCAAATACAGAGATTTGGCCAGAGGGGTCTCATCGTCCCTCTAAAAAGGCAGTGACGATTCAGTGAGTCGTGGCAACAAATTTAAGGAGTGAGATATGTGCACGGGGCGAGGGTGGGAGGCAAACAGCTGAGTGGTAAACTGGAGCCCGTTTCGCCACAGTAGGCAACCAAGCTCAGTTTAGACAAAGGAAGGAAACCCTTTGCAGGCCTTTGTGAGGAACTGAGTCTAGGGTTGCCAGCTCCAGGCCAGTACTGAGTCTAGGGTTGCCAGCTCCAGGTAGGGAGATTTCTGGAGATTTTCTGGAAGAGTCTATGGAAGCCAAGGTTTGGGGAGGAGAGAGGCCTCAGCTGAACAGAATGCCATATAGCCCACCTTATTTTCTCTGGGGGGGGGAATCTGTTGTCTGGAGTTCAGTTGTGATACCTGGTGATCCTCAGGCTTCACCTGGAGGTTGGCTGCCCTGTCAGTGCTTCAGAGCAGGGTCTGCTAGATCCAGGTTCTTGCTGTAGGGGCTGGGTGGGTGGGTGATTTTGGACAGGTCACAGACTTTCAACCTAAACTACCTCACAGGGTTGTTGTGCAAGTCAAAAGCGGGAGAGGAGAATGATGTAAGCTGCTTTGGTCCCCATTGCAATGAAAAACTACTTTTCCTCCTGTTGCCAATCTCCAGATGAGGGCTGGAGATCACTGAAAATTACAACTGCTCTTCAAGTAGCAGAGATCATTTCCTCTGGAGAAAATGGTGGACTCTGTGTCATTATACCCTGGTGAGGTCGCCATGGCACATTGACGCTGAGTGCCTTGGCACTCTCCAAGAGCCTCTTTCTAGAGCTCGTTGTATTTATTTCCACAACGGGCCTTTTTTCTAGTAATTAATAAATGCAGATTTACCTTTTCTGAAAACTAAAATTCCAATTGTGGAGTTCTTTCAGATCTTAATAAGGTGCCTTTTCTTCAGTTTTGAAAAGCCAATGCTCTTGAACTGTATGTGATGAAGGGAGCTTTCACTCTTGAATGCTTATACCCCCAAAATATTTTTGGTCTCATTAGGTGCTACTGGACTTGAATTTATGTCTTTTGCTGCAGACCATCATGGCTACGCTCCTGAACCTGCATCTATAAAGTTGCCTGTGTTTCAGATTATCCTATTCACTGCCATTTCTGCAGAATGGAGCTAGAATAAAGCTAGTGTATTAGGTCACTAATGAGAAGTTCAGTATTGAAAGTGTTTCTTGTGTTTGGCTGTAGAAGCTTCTAATGCTGTGGTGTTTAAAATTTTGGTTTTTGACTTGGAGGATCACCCAAATTCATCCGATCCTTATTTTAGATAAGCATTCTATATATAAAAACACATCTGCATACCTCTCCCACACCACAGAAGCAAGACTGCTAAACCTTTGACAAAAGTTACCCTTCAAGCCACCCAGACGCAGCAACTTCTTATACCTCCATGCAAAGGGGTGGGGGCAAAACAGATGAAAGCAACCCACCTCTTGCAACAAAGAGTTCCTTGACGTCTCAAACCCTGGCCACTTCCACACTGTCATTTTTGTCACTCATTTGTCCCTATTCTTCAGGGTTCTTTCCCCCCAATGTGTTTTGCTTTCTCTAGTAGTCCCAGAGGGAGCAAAACACATGTGGAAAAGGGGGGGGGAGTACCCAAAGCAAAACAAATGACAAAAGCAACAAGACAGTAATGTCTTCAAAGCTGAAGCTTCTGTTATATCTCCACCATGTGGAGGGGTGAGGGCAAGGAAGGTAAATGCTATCTGCCTTCAGCAAAAGTATCTTACTGTTGTCAGAGATGCTTTAGGCTGGTCCTCCATTGGGCAGGGGGTTGGACTAGATGGTCTGTATGGCCCCTTCCAACTGTATGATTCTATGATTTTATGTTTCAAACCCCCAGTCCTTAAAGCTTAAGTTGTTCCACTTATTTTAGTGTTTTTCTTAATTACTATCTTTCAAACAAATTAGAATTCTACTATGTTGGGTTGTAAAAATATGTTTCAATTACTAGTTGGAGGACAATTGTGTAGTTACAGTTTTAAAATCCTCTGTGTAAGTAGTGATGGAAAATTGCAGTGAAATCCTATGTTTTTTTTTTTGTTTTTTTTTTAATCCCCCGAAGGGTAGCTTTATTGATTTTTTATTACACCTACGTGACTACAAAAAGGAAAGAAAAGAGAGGGAGAAAAAATGGAAGGGGGGGGAAAAATAACAAACTAAAATAACAAACCCCAGGATACAAACAGTATAAAGAAAGAAAACCCACACTATAACTAAAAACCCAAGAAAGTAGGGTCATTAACAGTTAGTATGCAGTTAGTTATAAAGATTAATGCTTTCATTAAGTCAAGGAATTTAGGAGATTAGTTAGTCCATTTTGTTGTATATCTAATTTCTTCTCAGTGTGCACATAGACTTCTTCCAGCTCATCCATAAGTCTTTTTAGTTCATAAGTGCTATTTGGCAACTCTTAGCCGCAAGTCATATGCTTCTCTGGCCGTGCCTCCTTCTGCTCCAAGTAGGTCTCTGTCCGTCTCTTCCAGGTCAGCTGCCTGGCCTCCTCCGTCTTGCTGCTCTTCCTCTTTCTGTCCGAAGAATTGCTTCAACCATTCTTCTGCTTTTAACACCGAGTCGATTTTTTCTCTTTTGTCTCTATATTTGAATTGGACCCCTTCTGGAAAAAGCCAGGAGTATTGAATTTGGTTGATCTGAAGTGTTGAGATGAGTTCTTTGTACGCTTTTCTTTTCTGTCGAACCTCAAATGGAACGTCCTTAAGGACCCTGATACTTGCTGATCCC